TTCATCTGCTACAACTCCTGAAGGTACCAGTATGGCAACCTCGACTCCTAGTGAAGGAAGCACTCCATTAACAACTATTCCTGTCAGCACCACACGTGTGACCAGTTCTGCGGGCAGCACGCTTTCAACACCTTCTGTTGACACCAGCACACATGTGACCACTTCTACCCACGTCAGTTCATCTCCTACAACTCCTGAAGGTACCAGTATGGCAACCTCGACTCCTACTGAAGGAAGCACTCCATTAACAACTATTCCTGTTAGCACCACACGTGTGACCAGTTCTGCGGGCAGTACGCTTTCAACACCTTCTGTTGACACCAGCACACCTGTGACCACTTCCATCCAAGTCAGTTCATCTCCTACAACTCCTGAACGTACCAGTATGCCAATGTCCACTCCTAGTGAAGGAAGCACTCCATTATCAACTATTCCTGTCAGCACCACACGTGTGACCAGTTCTCAGGGTAGCACCCTTTCAACAACTTCTGTTGACACCAGCACACCTGTGACCACCTCTATCCAAGTCAGTTCATCTCCTACCACTCCTGAAGTCACCACCATGCCAATCTCGACTCCTAGTGAAGGAAGCACTCCATTAACAACTATTCCTGTCAGCACCACACGTGTGACCTCTTCTGAGGGCAGCACCCTTTCAATAACTTCTGTTGACACCAGCACACCTGTGACCACTTCTACCCAAGTCAGTTTATCTCCTACAACTTCTGAAGCTACCAGTATGCCAATCTCGACTCCTAGTGACGGAAGCACTCCATTAACAATTTTGCCTGTCAGCACCACATCGGAGACCATTTCTCATCCTAGCACACCTTCAACACCTCCTGTTGACACCAGCACACCTGTGACCACTTCTACCCACGTCAGTTCATCTCCTACAACTCCTGAAGGTACCAGTATTCCAACCTCGATTCCTAGTGAAGGAAGCACTCCACTAACAACTATTCCTCTCAGCACCACACGTGTGACCAGTTCTGAGGGCAGCACCCTTTCAACGCTGTCTGTTGACACCAGCACACCTGTGTCCACTTCTACCCCCGTCAGTTCATCTCTTACAACTCCTGAAGTCACCACCATGCCAATCTCTACTCCTAGTGAAGGAAGCACTCCATTAACCACTATTCCTGTCAGCACTACACGTGTGACCAGTTCTCAGGGTAGCACCCTTTCAACACCTTCTGTTGA